ATACAGCAGAAGCCAAATATGTTTCGCCAGTTTCGTATCCTCTGTGATAGTTTTTTACGGCACTCATTTGAGCTCGTATGGTGCAATGAACTGTAGCCCCTCAACCATACATTGTTGTGTAATTGTGAAACGTCAGTAGTACCGTAAGAACTGCTTCTGATTTGTCATACATAAACCTGAAGAACTGGTAATGATAAGTACTTTTTGTTGACAATACGGACAGTGCGCCCTTCAAAATGCTCTTACATACCTACTGGTATGCCGTTTCATCATCGAGATTATCAATCAACTCTAAGCGTCATGCTTTTCTGCATTCCCATTCCACCATTGCTGCAGCTACTACTACTGCTGTGCAGTAATGCTACAACTGTATAAATTCATGTACTTCAGCAGGACTGTAAACTAAAAATCATTCCTTTCCTGCCTGCCACTACCACTGTCTAGTACAGTAATGCCTAAAGAGTCTTTCACTGCCACCACTACTGTGAGCTGTAAACCTGCTGATATGTATCATCACCGTCTAATAAATATTTACTAATCTAATCAAAAACTAGATATTAATAATCATATAGTTTACTACCCATGCACTGTATGTGTGCATGGGGGGTTCCTCTTGGCCGCCAGGAGCAGAGCTCCTGACGTTACACCCAAGCACCGCGGTGAGGTGGGAACCATCGCTTAGGACCCTGTTGGGGGGGGGGAAGAGAGAAAAAACACAATGCAGACTGCCCGGGGGCAGATGAAAATCATCCTCAAAGCAGGTGCTGCCCGTCCTTGCGGCCCAGTCTTGCTGCTTGACCAGCTGTGTAATTTTGCTCACTGCAGCTAGGCTGCTGTGAGGAACAAGAGAAATGGGTTTTCAGGCGTATCCCAAAACACAGAGTTTGCTCACTGCAGCGACTCTGCAGTGAGGAGAAAACGAATTTTGAGACGTCTCTCAAAGCTCAGGGACCAACGGACTGACAGGAACGGACACGCAACGACAAGCTGCAGTGCACTGCAGTAAACAGAACAGAACCGCCACCGGCGGTTCACAGCTGTCTTGAGGCGCCTCAAGAACAGCACACGGGGACCCCACCCCTCACCCCTCACGCCTCACCCCTCCTCCTCCGCACTCCACCCCGCCTCCCTCCTCCCTCCCGTGTAGCTGCTGCTGCCGTGCCTCTCGCCCTGCAGTACAGGAATGCAAGAGGGGGGGGCTAAGGGAAGAAAGATAAGTGGCTGGTGAAGAGAATGCAAAGAAATGAAACAGAAATTGAAACATGCAACAACAAAATGGAACGAATGCAAAAACAGAGCGGAGATTGGTCCCCTCCCAGAGCCCCATACTCCCTTCTGAAAGAAGGCGCTGCTGGTGCTGCTGCTCCCTCCTCCTCCTCACGCCAACCTGCCTCCCTCCCTCCCGTGTAGCTGCTGCTGCCGTGCCTCTCGCCCTGCAGTACAGGAATGCAAGAGGGGGGGGCTAAGGGAAGAAAGATAAGTGGCTGGTGAAGAGAATGCAAAGAAATGAAACAGAAATTGAAACATGCAACAACAAAATGGAACGAATGCAAAAACAGAGCGGAAATTGGTCCCCTCCCAGAGCCCCATACTCCCTTCTGAAAGAAGGCGCTGCTGGTGCTGCTGCTCCCTCCTCCTCCGCACGCCAACCTGCCTCCCTCCCTCCCGTGTAGCTGCTGCTGCCACGCCTCCCGCTCTGCAGTACAGGAATGCAAGAGAGGGGGCTAAGGGAAGAAAGGTAAGTGGCTGGTGAAGAGAATGCAAAAAACGAAACAGAAATTGAAACATGCGACAACGAAACGAAACGAATGCGAAAACAGAGCGGAAATTGGTCCCCTCCCTGAGCCCCGTACTCCCTTCTGAAAGAAGACGCTGCTGGTGCTGCTGCTCCCTCCTCCTCCGCACGCCAACCCGCCTCCCTCGTCCCTCCCGTGTAGCTGCTGCTGCCACGCCTCCCGCTCTGCAGTACAGGAATGCAAGAGGGGGGGGCTAAGGGAAGAAAGATAAGTGGCTGGTGAAGAGAATGCAAAAAACGAAACAGAAACTGAGACATGCGACAACAGAACGAAACGAATGCGGAAACAGAGTGGAAATTGGTCACCTCCCTGAGCCCCGTACTCCCTTTTGAAAGAAGGTGCTGCTGGTGCTGCTCCTGCTCCCTCCTCCTCCGCACGCCAACCCGCCTCCCTCCTCCCGTGTAGCTGCTGCTGCCACACTTCACGCTCTGCAGCCGCCCTCACCAGATCTCCACTCCGCCATGTTGCGCTCTGCCATACAGAAATGCAACAGGGGGAACTAAGGAAAGAAAGATAAGTTGCTGGTGAAGATGCAAGCAAAAAGAGAATGCAAAAAACAAAGCAGAAATTGAAACATGCAACAAGGGGGGATTTGAGGAAACGAATATACGTTGGTGGTGAGAGTGCAAGGGAAAACAGAATGCAAAATGAAAACGAAACACGCAACAAGGAAAGAAACAAGAACAGAATAAAGTAAAAGTTGTTCTCCTCGCCCCATACTTCCTTCTCGTGGCAGGCGTTGCTGATGGCACCACACTGCACTGGCACCGCACTGAACTCCCTCAGACCCATCCATACTCCCTTCTCAAGGCAGGCGTTGCTGATACTCCCTTTTAAAGGGGTACCGCACTGCACTCCCTTGGACCCATACATCCTTCTCAAGGCAGGCGCTGCTGATGGCACCGCACTGCACTCCCTTGGACCCATACTACCTTCTCAAGGCAGGGGCTGCTGATCGCACCGCACTGCACTCCCTCGGACCCATCCATACTCCCTTCTCATGGCAGGCGTTGCTGATACTCCCTTTTAAAGGGGTACCGCACTGCACTCCCTTGGACCCATACATCCTTCTCAAGGCAGGCGCTGCTGATCGCACCACACTGCACTCCCTTGGACCCATACTACCTTCTCAAGGCAGGGGCTGCTGATCGCACCGCACTGCACTCCCTCGGACCCATCCATACTCCCTTCTCATGGCAGGCGTTGCTGATACTCCCTTTTAAAGGGGTACCGCACTGCACTCCCTCGGACCCATCCATACTTCCTTCTCATGGCAGGCGTTGCTGATACTCCCTTTTAAAGGGGTATCAGCAACGAGTGCTGATCAGGAGTGCGTCAAAGGCAAAAAGAGGAGTTGACTGGGAAGTATGAGGTGAAGCATGCTTAGGGTGAGTTGAGCAAGCGGTGGGACAAGCGGGAGGATGAGAAGCAAAGAGTGGGGTGGCAGCCACCACTCTCAGCACGCATCCAACACACACTTACCGCGGCTCAGCTGGGCAAGAGGGAGAGTGAGAGGAGAGCAATGAGAGGGAGGTCGCACCCCCAATCAAAGTATCACCACTCAGACACACCTTTCACGCAGCTTTGTACTCCCTTCCACACACCACAGCCTCTCCCTCCAAGTACCCCCTCCTTGAGCTTATCAGCCTCTCCTTCTCGCACCTCCACCTCACCCCAAGGGTGCAGGTGGGATAACACGCACCTCCGCCTCACCCCAAGGGTGCAGGTGGGATAACACGCACCTCCGCCTCACCCCAAGGGTGCAGGTGGGATAACACGCACCTCCGCCTCACCCCAAGGGTGCAGGTGGGATAACACGCACCTCCGCCTCACCCCAAGGGTGCAGGTGGGATAAATCGCATGGGAAGCCACATGCGGCCTTCGGTCACGCCATCCTTGCTCCATCCGCATCGCCTCGCGTGCCGCCAGCAAGCGGGTGGTCAGCAGGGCGGGTAGGAGGCACCCACATGCCAGTGGCTGCCGGCTGTGCGTCATCCCACCTCTCTCACTCTTCTCCTCGTTCCATCCGCCATGCCTTGAAACCGCCTGAGAGAGCTTTACTCAGTCCGCCCACGGATTGCGTCTCACAGCCTCACCTTGCCTCGCAGCCTCGTCTCGCCTCTCGCCTCGCCGGGCGTTGCACTCACATCCAGAGAGCATGTCGTGGGGGTTGCACTCGCATCCAGAGAGCGTGTTGTGGGAGTTGCACTCACAAGCAGAGAGCATGTCGTGAGAGTTGCACTCGCATCCAGAGAGCATGTCGTGGGAGTTGCACTCACATCCTAGTCGCACCCGCAGCCATCGTCGGTAAAAGAATCTAAGACAAGCCAATGCAAACCTACAGATGCACTCACATCCAGAAAAGAAGGTGGCAGTGGCCATCGCTTCTGTGAAGATCATCGGTGATATGTCAAAGAGAAACGAGAAAGACAGCGAGATAGAGTGAGAGAGGCAAGGGTAAGAAAGCTCAATTGGTTTTGTTGTCGCTTGCAGCAGCTGATTGTTGTCTCGCGTCCACTGTAGGCCACCGTTGCACCGCCTTCACCGACCGTTCACCGAGCCAGCCATCCGCCCTCTTCATCCCCCTCACTCCAGGCGCCCCCCTCGCCTCACTTCCAAATATCCGCTTGCAGCGTCACCCTCGCCCTCGCAAGTGGGTGGTCAGCAGGGCGGGTAGGGCCGGCCGTGCGTCATCCCACCACGCTCGCCCTCCCCTTGCATGCGCGCTGGCCTCTAAAATGCCGTGCTTTCCCCGCTACAGCCGCTCCCCCCAGCTCTCCACTCCGCCATGTTGCGCTCTGCCATACAGAAATGCAACAGGGGGAACTAAGGAAAGAAAGATAAGTTGCTGGTGAAGATGCAAGGGAAAAAAGAATGCAAAAAAACAAAACAGAAATTGAAACATGCGACAAGGGGGGATCCGTGCAAGGAAAGATAAGTTGGTGGTGAGGGTGCAAGGGAAAACAGAATGCAAAACGAAAGCGAAACACGCGACAAGGAAAAAACAAAAAAGTTGTTCTCCTCGGCCCCATACTCCCTTCTCAAGGCAGGCGTTGCTGATGACACCACACTGCACACTCTTGGACCCATCCATACTCCCTTCTCAAGGCAGGCGCTGCTGATGGCACCGCACTGCACTCCCTCGGACCCACCCATACTCCCTTCTCAAGGCAGGCGCTGCTGATGGCACCGCACTGCACTCCCTCAGACCCACCCATACTCCCTTCTCGAGGCAGGCGCTGCTGATGGCACCACACTGCACTCCCTCGGACCCATCCATACTCCCTTCTCAAGGCAGGCGCTGCTGATGGCACCGCACTGCACTCCCTCGCACCCATACTCCCCTCTCAAGGCAGGCGTTGCTGATACTCCCTTTGAAAGGGGTATCAGCAACGAGTGCTGATCAGGACTGCGTCAAAGGCCAAAAGAGGAGTTAACTGGGAAGTATGAGCTGAAGTATGCTTAGGGTGAGTTGAGCAAGCGGTGGGACAAGCGGGAGGATGAGAAGCAAAGAGTGGGGTTGCAGCCGCCAGTCTCAGAACGCATCCAACACACACTTACCGCGGCTCAGCTGGGCAAGAGGGAGAGTGAGAGGAGAGCAATGAGAGGGAGGTCCCACCCCCAATCAAAGTATCACCACTCAGACACACCTTTCTCCCAGCTTTGTACTCCCTTCCACATACGACAGCCTCTCCCTCCAAGTACCCCCTCCTTCAGCTTATCAGCCTCTCCCTCTCACACCTCCACCTCACCCCAAGAGTGCAGGTGGGAGAACACGCAAGGGAACAACGAGCTTCGCTCGCTCCATCCTTGCTCCATCCGCCTCGCCTCGCGTGCCGCCAGCAAGCGGGTAGTCAGCAGGGCGGGTAGGAGGCACCCACATGCCACTGCCTGCCGGCCGTGCGTCATCCCACCTCTCTCGCCGGGAGTTGCACTCACATTCAGAGAGCGTGTCGTGGGAGTTGCACTCACATCCAGAGAGCGTGTCGTGGGAGTTGCACTCACATTCAGAGAGCGTGTCGCAGGAGTTGCACTCACATCCAGAGAAGGCCGTGGTGGGCGTTGCACATCCATCGTCGGCAAAAGAATCAGAGACAAGTCAACGCAAACCTACTGATGCACTCACATCCAGAGAAGGAGGTGGACGTGGCTGTTGGTGAAGAGCGTCGATGATATGTCAAAGAGAAACGAGAAAGACGGCCAGATAGAGCGAGATAAATGAGAGAGGCAAGGGTAAGAAAGCTCGATTGATTTTGTTGTCGCTTGTAGCAGCTGATTGTTGTCTCGCGTCCACTGTAGGCCACCGTTGCACCGCCTTCACCGCCCGTGCACCGAGTCAGCCATCCGCCCTCGTCATCCTCCTCACTCCAGCTGCCCTCGTCACCTCGCTCCGTCCGCTCCGGCCGCACTCCTCGCCTCGCCCCATCCGCTTGCATTGCGGCGCCACCCTCGCCTTCGCAAGCGGGTGGTCAGCAGGGCGGGTAGGGCCGGCCGTGCGTCATCCCACCACGCTCGCCCTCCCCTTGCATGCGCGCCGTCTTCAAATCTGCACTTCCAAAGAGCGAAAAGAGGCATAGAGCGAGGGATGATAAGTAGCTGGGACCATGATGAATGCAAAAACAATGTGTTGATAGAACAAGAATGAATGAGACAGCAACAGTGGCAATCAGGGAAAAGAGATCAAGAACGGAAATTAGAGGCAAGGGTAAGGAAGCTCAATTGCTTTTGTTGTCGCTTGCAGCTGACTGTTGTCTCGTGTCCACTGTAGGCCACCGTTGATCCGCCTTGACCGCCCGTTCACCGAATCAGCCATCCGCCCTCGTCATCCTCCTTGCTCCAGGCGGCCCCGTTGCCTCGCTCCTCCATGCTCTCTGCTGCTGCCTTCCCGTCGATGTGCTGGCAGAGGGGTGTAGGCAAAGGGAAGCAGGCAGAGGGATGCTGGCAGGAGGAGAGGAGAAGAGGGATACAAGTGGAGGGAGCAGAGAAGGGAGATGAGAAGGAAGGTGATTAGCATGGCGTATGCAAAGTGACAGAACGGAAAAACGGCACGCATGCAAGCAGTGAGAGTGCGTGAGTGGCGTGAGTGGCGGTGGCATTGGGTGGAAGCGGGTGGTGGCAGCAGCAGGGCGGGCACCAAGGACAGTACCGTACCTTACCACACCTGACGCACTTACCTGCTGTCACACACCTGGGGAGGGTCCCTTGGTGCCGCCCGTGAGAGCGGCGAGAGGAGGAGGAGGGCGAGAGTGCAAGCAAGCGAGCAGTGGATGGCACGAGTGGGAGCGGGTGAGTGGTGCGCGCACAGTGCGAATTCAGTGAGATGGCTTAGCCGGATTGACGAGGGTCGAAGGAGCATGCAGGCGTGCTCCCCTTGCGTGCGCTCCCTGCGCTCCCTGCCCCGCGTTTGTGTGCCTCCTTGAGTCTGCTCTGCTCCCGGAGAGGCGAGCAGTGGTCAGTAGGGCGTGCAACAGCAGTGTTGCCCGCCGTGCGTCATCCCACTGCCGCCCTCTGCTGGCTCTGCACAAGGAGCAACCAGGCACAGCGGCAGAGAGAAAGACCGAGTGGCAGTGAGAGCACGAACAGGTGGCAGAGAGCACGAGGAGGTGAAACCAACGTCCGGCAAGAAAGCAAGTCGACGAACGAACGAACGAACAAATGGTAAACACATTGGAGCGACAAGTGAGTGATAGAGGAGGGGTGGTGGGGGGAAGGTGACGACGACAGTGGGCCAAGGGCACCGAAGCAGCGAGCTGAGGCAGCGACGGGGGACTGGGGACGCGCGCATGGCATGAATGAAATGCTATCCTAAGCCACACCCACTGGACTCTCTGGACTGGACTGGACTCTACATGAGCTCAGCTGCCATAATGCGCCCTGACCCACCGCCGCCATGCGCCTCACAGGAACACAACAGAGTGGTGTAAGGGTTGAGGAGGGAACTTAGCCGGGAACTTAGCTCGTTGCTTGCCGATCGTCGTTTTCCGCACTTGCCGCATTCACCACGTCAGCGCCTCTCCCCGCACCTCATCGCTGCTCCCCGCAGTTGGCTACGATCGCAGGTCCCTCTGGTGTTGCCTGGCTGTTGACAGCTGATGTTGACTGCTGCTACACGTGCTGTTGCTCTGGTGCTCTGCCACACTCGATTCCGCCTGAGGGAAGAAGATGGATGGAGGGAGAAGGAACAGCGAGAGGGCAGGCAGAGAGAACTTGGAATGTTACGTAGCGGAAAACATGTCAAGGTGGGAAGAGAGCAGAGATCCTGGAAAGCAAGAATGAGAATGAATTGGAGTTTGCAACAGCAGAAAATTCAGTGGTTGGGAGGGGTGGGGGGGGAAGGCGCATGGCGACAGTGGCCCACGGCACTACAGCAGCGAGCTGAGCCAGCGAGGGGGGACTGGGACGCACGCATGGCATGAATGCACTCCCTCTCCCTCTAATCTCTCCCATCACTCCCACTACACTACACTCTACATGAGCTCTGCTGCCATAGCACCATGGACCACCACCAGCATGCGCCAAGCAAGGGATACGAGGTGACAATCTGGCAGCAGTAAAAACGACGGACGGGGAGAGCGAGGGAGGAGTGAAGAGGGGGAGCGCGAAGAGACTTAGCTACAGAAGAGTGTTGAAGCTGATCATCCGCATCCGCACATTGTCACGCGAGGTACATTGCACGCCCTCGCACGCACTTAGTCGCCACCTTCCGCACACAGACGCGCGCGGACGCACACGGTACGTCACATGGCGCTCGTCGGACATCGTCGCATGCGGCCGATCCGTCAGCATCCGCACGCCTTCACGGCTGTTCACCACGCCAGCCGCATGCCTTCACCGCTGTTCACCGCGCCAGCTGCACACCGTCGAACTCGGTAAGTCGTCATCTTCCGCACACCGTCGCACGGGACGTCGCCAGCATCCGCACAACGTCGCGCGTGGAAGATCGCGCGCAGTTGGTCACCGACTTCCGCACACGTTGCACGCGGTACGTCGCCATCATCCGCACGGCCTCGCACGTAATTAGTCGCCATCTTCCGCACACGGACGCGCGCGGTACGTCGCATGCCGCCATCTTCCGCACATAGACACGGACGCGCGCGCCGCGTCGCCTGCGCAGGCGCCGTTCGTCGCACATCGTCGCATGCATCCGAACACGCGAAACGTCGCACGCGGTAAGTCGCCATCTTCCGCACACGGACGCGCGCGGTATGTCGCATGCCGTTCGTCGCGCATCGTTGCATGCCGTCTCAGAACGTCGCACGCCGATCGTCGCACGCGGTAAGTCGCCATCATCCGCACACCGGCGCACGGGGAACATCGCCCGCGCTACGTCGAATGCCGTTTGTCGCACATCGTCGTATGCGCCATGTTTCCCAGCATCCGCACGGCGCCGCATGCGGAACGTCACCATCTTCCGCACACCGTACGCGGTTGGCCGCCGTCTTCCACACACGGTCAACCGCGTGAAGTCGTAATTGTCCACACACCGTCGCACAGGGAACGTCGCACGCGGTTCGTCGCCATCTTCCGAACATCGTCGCATGCAGTATGTCGCCAGCATCCGCACAACGTCGCACGCGGAAGGTCGCACGCAGTGTGTCGCCGTCTTCCGCATGGTTGCGCGTAATTCGAAATTCGCCACTTGTAGCTACACGATCGCCGCACGTTGCCAGCCGCTGACTTCGTCGCTAGCCGTTCGCCATTCGCTGCTCGCCGTTCGACATTCGCTAGTTGCCAATCGCCGCTATCATTGCTCGTCCGCTTGTCTTTCGCCGGTCGTCAGGTTGCACCCTGTTGCTCGGAGTAGTTAACCCATTAGTTTCCGTCTCTGTGTCGATTGTCACTGTGTCGCCGTGAGTCACCGTGACGCCGGATGCCGGTTGCCTTGAGACTGCTTCCGTCGTCCCGAAGGTGCTTCTCTTCAAGAAAAGATCATTACTACGGGTGCCGGATGCCGGTCGCCTTGATACTTGAGATTCACTCGCCATTCTGACCATTACGGCGGTAATCTGACGTGAATTCCGTCAACCTAAGTAGCGTTGCGGAAACTAAAACAGTGGGATTTCCTTAGCGGTTACGAATCATAGGTATTGCGGTTATAAGGAAAGAGGCAAGCAGTTAAACATCAGCCTATCAGTTCTCCCACTGGGACAGACTTATCAAGATAAGCCACTACTGTCATAAACCTTCTTAAGAATATGATCTATTCGCAATAGGCTACATCTCTGAGAGATTTCGACAGCAGCCATGGCGAGCTGAGAAAGCACGAGCTAACGCTGACTGAAGAATCAATGAAAGGAATGGAGGGACTAGAATTCGGCAGAGGTGACTGGAACAGCCTTGGGAATGTCGCCGGGGTTGACTTGGTCTCAACATAAGAGAGGCTGCGTGGACTTGCTGGAGGGAGGCGACGACAGGCGAGAGGGAGTCGCCAAAACAGAGGCTTCCGCTGGTCTCCACCCGCCACACAGAACGGCGCAAACATTTCGCGAGCAAATGACGAAGTAGTAACCCGAGGAAATTGGGCTCGGATGACTTTCGCCACCGGCATGGAGTCCAAAGCAGCCGCTAAACGGCGCTGGGCTGGGGTCCTGGTATTCAGACGAAGCGCAGTATTTGAATGTTCTGCGCGGGAGACTTCTGCAGCAGGTGTCCAGGAAAAGGTTCCGCCGCAATATTTTGGGTCATCGCTGCAAGTTTCCAATCAGTCACTATACAGTCATTTTGTAGTGTAGACTTCTTTCTGGCTTATGCCAGCATCGCAAAACAAAGAAACGACATGCAGTAGATTCTTATCCAACATAACTTTCACTACCAGACATTCTATAGGAACACATATATGAGGACTGAAGGCCTTAATGAGTTGAATTTACCGGTAATACCAGTAAAACGACACAAACAACGCGACAGCACACTATCTGTTTGCTTGGATGGCCAGCCTGCCAGCTCGTCCTGGTCTTCCCTAATTTCTTGACTCTCTGCCTCACCACCCGCCACATGCACCCATGTTACCATGTGCCTGTGTCACACGTAACCTACATCTCTGCTGCTACCATGCACCACTGCCAGCAGAGGCATGTGAGGAGGAGGCAGAACTGCCACTGCCAGCAGCATCCTGTCTGCTCCACATATCCGCCAGCAGCTGGTACCCCCAGCTCTAACACCCGTCCCTATGCCCCACCACCCCTGCCTTGCAGCAATGCTACCAGGCACCTGTGCCACATGCCCCTTGCATCTCTGCTGCTACCATGCACCTGGGTCACCAGAGGAATGTGAGGAGGCAGCACTGCCACTGCCAGCAGCCTGTCTGCTCCACATATCCGCCAGTAGTTGGTACCCCGAGCTCTTATACCCGTCTCTGTGCCCCACCACCCGTGCCTTCCCTCCCGCCGTCGCACCCCTCCCCGCCCCACCCTTCCCACTCGCCCCTCCACCACCACCAGCAGCACCACCAGCAGCACCAGCACTGCCGCCGCTCTCAAGCTCAAGCAGCATGTGGGAGAGGAGGTCAGCAGGGGACTCTACCAGCCGCAGCTCCTCGTCGCTCTCGTACCCCCTGTCGAGAGCCAGACCAGAGGAGCCCGCATGCGGCAGGTGCAGCAGACGCACGGAGCCCAGGAGCAGGCGCACGGATGGCGAAGGGGGCGGGGTGTAGGGCGTGGCGGGGAGAGGAGCGATGTCGGTGGAAGGATTGGATTTTCCCCGTCGCGACTCGCTGTGCACCTGATGGTGAGAGGAGGGGAGGGCGAGCATGGGACGAGTGATTCTGTCAGGTGAGGGCGAATGATGTGGGGTTGTGAGGAGGGGACGTGGCGAGATGGAGAGGCATGGCATGATGGGTCTGGTGCGTTGGCATCGGAAGAGGCATGGTGGCGCATCGACATCCAATCCCCAGACATGGGGTGTTCTATGCATCCAACTCTCATCTCACTGTCATATCGGACTGGCCTCTCCCTATCAACCCCCACTCACCTCGCTGTTGAGCTGCTGCAGAAGGGTGGAGGAGACGGGGTCGGGTGCATTGGCATCGGGAGCAAATATGAGGAGAATGCGCCGCAGCAAGGCCAGTGTCAGATCACCACACACCTGTTGTCATGTGTGCACACACACATACACACATGCGAATGCACACCCACACCCACGAGCACATGCACATGCACATGCACATGCACACACGCACACGCACACAGACTCGCATGGTAGATCAATTTTTGCAAAGTGTGATGCATGTGATGCAAGTGGTCTATGTGGTGCATGTGATGCATGTGATTCCATACAACACATTCCTCTCACCTCCTTCCTTGCCTCCTGGTCGGCCAGCAAGTCCTTAGGCAGCAGCAGCACCTGCGCCATCGCCCTCAGCTTTGGAAAGCACTCCCCTGGACCCCCTGTCACTGCCACTGCCGCCCCCGCTGCTGCGGCAGCACTGGGGGGAAAGCGAGGGGAGGCGGGGTGAGCGGCGGAAGAGGCAGAGGAGGAGGAGGAAGAGGAGGAGAAGAAGGATGGGGAGGAAGGGGAGGGGTCGGAGGGGTCGAGAGCTCCAGCCCAGAAGGCCGTGGTGGTGGCAAGGAGGGAGGAGGAGAAGGGTGGAGGGGTGGGGAGCGGTGCGGAGGGGTTGGGCTGGGAGGATGCGAGGAGGTAGTCTATCTGAGCGTGCATGTGAGCGTCAAGGTCGTGAAACATGGTGGCCCATGCTGATGTCTGGCACAGGGTGAGGGGGACAAGCGAGGGAAGAGAGGGGGGTGGAGGGGGTGGGAGGAGTAAAGGGGAGGATGTAAGTCAGGGCAAAGTACAGAGCAAGCGCAAAGGCTGCTGCATTACATGTAGTGTAGGTGCTGTGAGACCAAGGCATGGCATGTGGCGCGATGCAATGCAACGCTGTGAGTGACCCATGTATGGTGTTCCATGTGTCCTACAACAATTGGAATCAACCTTCTAAGTCAATCTACATCAGCTGAGAGTCGGTCAACGTGAGTCGCGTTCGGTCAATGCAAATCAGAAACGGTCAACGCGAGGGAAGGCGGATGGACGAGGCAAGGGGGGAAGGCGAGGGAAGGCGAGGGGAGGAGAGGCGAGGGGAGGAGAGGCGAGGGGAAGGGAGGTAAGGGGACTGACGGCGTATTTGAGGTGCATGCCATGCGAGTAGGTGAGCTTGCCCGTGGCTGTGAATGGCAGGGCTGCAGGCTCGGTGACAGGGTCGGCAAGAGGTTCGGCGGGCGGCGCGTCAGGGTTGGAGCGCAGGAGTGCGTTGAAGATTGCAGAGTCAAGGCGGAGCAGACAGTGCTCTAAGACCTGGTGGGGGGGGGGGGGGATGGGGGATGGTACGGTATGGGGTATGGAAGATGGGATTGATGGTGGACTCGAGTTTTGGCACATCTCAAACTGGGAGAGTGCTGAGTCAAGGCAGAGCAGACAGTGCTCTGGTGAGATGGGATGGGATGGATGGAATGGGATGGTGATGGCATCATGGTATGGTATAGGGGATGGGATGAGGGATGGGATGGTGTGACACACTGTGTTCAAGAAAGCAAGCTTAAAACGTCTACCGACTACAGGCAACAACCCAGGCTGTACCTTGGAGAAAAGGGCCCACCTGCTTCTGAGAAAGGCACCCACCTGCTTCTGAGAAACGCACCCACCTGCTTCTGAGAAACGCACCCACCTGCTTCTGAGAAACGCGCCCACCTGCTTCTGAGAAACGCACCCACCTGCTTCTGAGAAACGCGCCCACCTGCTTCTGAGAAACGCACCCACCTGCTTCTGAGAAACGCACCCACCTGCTTCTGAGAAACGCACCCACCTGCTTCTGAGAAACGCACCCACCTGCTTCTGAGAAACGCACCCACCTGCTTCTGAGAAACGCACCCACCTGCTTCTGAGAAACACACCCACCTGCTTCTGAGAAACGCGCCCACCTGCTTCTGAGAAACGCACCCACCTGCTTCTGAGAAACGCGCCCACCTGCTTCTGAGAAACGCACCCACCTGCTTCTGAGAAACGCGCCCACCTGCTTCTGAGAAACGCACCCACCTGCTTCTGAGAAACGCGCCCACCTGCTTCTGAGAAACGCACCCACCTGCTTCTGAGAAACGCACCCACCTGCTTCTGAGAAACGCACCCACCTGCTTCTGAGAAACGCACCCACCTGCTTCTGAGAAACGCACCCACCTGCTTCTCCAACAGGTACAGGCAGCCGCAGCATCGCCCCATGGCACGCTGCGGGCAGAGGCTGAAGGACGCATCGTGCAGCACCGCTCTCCACCGCTCCACACCCACCAGCTTGCTCCACCACGGAGCCCTCTCAGCGTCTGGTAGGAAGAGGGGTGTGGGATGGGAGGAGACGGGTTGATGAGAGGAGAAGAGGGTGTGGGATGGGAGGAGATGGGTTGATGAGAGGAGACGAGGGGTGTGGGATGGGGGGAGATGGGTTGATGAGAGGAGAAGAGGGTGTGGGATGGGAGGAGATGGGTTGATGAGAGGAGAAGAGGGTGTGGGATGGGAGGAGATGGGTTGATGAGAGGAGACGAGGGGTGTGGGATGGGAGGAGATGGGTTGATGAGAGGAGAAGAGGGTGTGGGATGGGAGGAGATGGGTTGATGAGAGGAGACGAGGGGTGTGGGATGGGAGATGGGTTGATGAGAGGAGACATATTGGTAAGAGGAGACATATTGGTAAGATGAACTTGCAGAGGTAGCGGAGAAACTCATAGAAAGCATGGCCAGACTTACTCACCCCATCCCCCCCTCGCCTCCCCGCCTCACCTCCCACTCCTCCTGCCACGGGCGCTGCCGGCTTCTTCTGGCCGCCCAGCCCCAGTGCGCCGCCCACGGTGCTGCCGCCCGGCCAGGGCAGGGAGGAGGCACTGGTAGAGGCGGCAGAGGCGAGGGAGGAGAAGAGAGACGAGGCGGCCGACAGGGTGGACGCGGAGGAGGAGAGAGAGGGGGGCTGGGAGGTGGGTGAGCGGCGTAGGGCGGGAAGGAATACCTGGGGAAGGGAGAGAGTGGGGATGAGGGGATGAAGGGGGAAGGAGGGGATTTAGCATGTGATGTATGTGACAAGGACAGACATACACGGAGGCACTCGTAGAGGTGGCAGAGGCGAGGGAGGAGAAGAGAGAGGAGGCGGCTGACAGGGTGGGCGAGGAGGAGGAGGAGGCAGAGGGCTGGAAGTAGGGGGAGCGGCGTAGGGCCGGGAGGAATACCTGGGGGAAGGTAGAGAGGGGTTGAGGGGAGAGGGAAATCGGGAAGAGGGGCCGGGAAGGTGGGAGGGAAGGCAGAGGGTGGGGGATTTAGCATGTGATGTGAGAAGGGCAGACAAGGATTTGAAGGGAGAACAGCAGCATCACGCCTCCAGCCTCCTCCCTCCCCCCTCCTCTTTCCCTTGCTCACCTTGCCTCACACAAAATGTTCCCCCCCTCCCCTTCCCCATTGCCTCACCTTGCGCCACACGAGCTGCAGGCACCGCTCATGCTGCCACTCCTCCAGCCGCCTCAGTGCCGCCACCACCGCCGCTGGACTCCCCCACGACTCCCGCCCCCCTCCCCCCCCCACTCGCCCCTTCCCCTGCCCCTCCACCTCCCCCCTTCCCTCCCCTCCCACCCCTTTTCCCAGGCCCGGAGCCCCCACCAGGTTCGGAATCCGGTTCGGAACCAGAGGAGGTTTGGTCGGAGAGGGGGAAGGAGGAGGAGGAGGAATTGGCAGAGTGGGGCTCATCAGAGTGAGCTTCAGTGGGAGCAATGCTGGCAATGGCTTCTCGGAGCATGACAGTATTGGACCACCAGAAGAGCAGTCTAGCAGCATCATCAGCAGCAGCTTTGGAGACCAGAGTCAGTGCAGTCACAGCCACTCTCGCCACGCCCCCCACCCTCTCATCCCCCTCATGCACTCGCACGAATGCGTAAGCCCTCGCTATTCGTCTCGCGGGAGTGTGAACTTTCCGGACAGATCCCCCGTGCTCTGGCCGTACAGCATACACTGCCACGTCAGCCATTGCCGCGTCTCTCAAATCCCCGGGCAGCCGCCCGAAATTCCGCTCCGCGCTCCTCGCCCGCTCCTCAGCCTCGGCAGCCCGAGCCAGAGCCTCGGCGACCGAAGCAGCAGCTTCGTCAAGGTGCGTTTTCTCCTCAGCCACCCGCTGCTGCTCCCACTCGAACCGCTCCCTCTCCTCCCTCACCCGCCTCTCTGCTGCCTCTGCAGCCCCTTTCATCTGCTCTGCTTCCTCCCTCTCCCTCCGTATCCTCTCCTCCTCCGCCTCCGACCACGCCGAAAACTCCGCCATTTGGCTCTCCAACTCACTGCACCGCTTCTTATCCATCTCAATCTGCGCGTGCTCCTTCTTGAGCCGCGCGCGCGCTCGTTCTCAGCCCACACCCTGAGCCGCTGCACCTCGTCCCCCAGGGTCTGCAGGGCTCGCTTCTCCTCCTCTACTAGCTTCTTCTCTGTCCGCACCTTGCGCCACTCAAACTCCAAACTCGATGCGTCCCCCCCTCCCCGCTCCTCGTCTCTCTCCCCTGCCCGCTCCCCCACCACCTTCATGCTCTTGGACTGCCCCAGCACCCCCCGTCCCCCACTCCCGCCCCCGCCCCCGCCAGTACTACCCGACTCCGACCCACTCCCCCCGCCAGCGCCGCCGCTGCTTCCAGCACGGGGCGGCGACGCGGTAACCGCATCGATGCCCAAAGAGCCGCCGACGTAGGGCATGGGCTTCTTGAGGTTGACGGGGAAGAGGTCGCCTGCCGGGCTGGAGGGCGACGTGAGACCATATAGCAGCCCATCACTGAACGGACTCATGCCCCCCCCACCACCACCACCAGCACCGGGGTCCTTACCGTCTAACGACTGCTGCCGGAACCTGGGGGATTTTGGTGGTGGCGGAGGCAGCGTCTCGAATTCTTCCTCTTCCTCCTCCTCCTCCTCCTCCTCCTCCTCCTCCTCCTCCTCCTCTTGTTCCTCCTCCGGCTCCTGCTGCCCGTCCTGCTCCTCCTCTCCCCCGCCCCGCTCATTGCCATGCTCTCCATACCCGTCCCCATACTTGTCCTCTGCGTACCCATCCTCGTACCCCCCTTGCTGGTCCCCGTACCTGTCGGCCGCACGGCCATAGCTGCCCTGCCTCTGCTCGAACCCAAACGCCTCGTCATATTCCCCCTCGCCCCCGTTCATGCCGGTGCCACCAGTGCCATCATCATACCCATCGCCCTCATCACCATCTTGCATGTACTCCCCCTCCTCCCTTTCATCCACTTGTACATACTCCCCCTCTGCATCATCATACCCCCCTCGCCCCTGCCTCCTCTTCCCTTGCCCATGCCCATGCCCATGCTCATGCCCTTGCCCTTGCCCTTGCCCATGCCCTTGCCCATATCCCCCTTCCTCCCCATATTCCCCCTCCTCATATCCCCCCTCCCCATAGTCCCCCTCTCCCTGGCCATAGCCCTCGCCCCCTGGGTACCCCCGCCCATGCCCATACCCCCCTTGCATCCCCCCCTGCTCCCCCTCCTGCTCCTCGCCCCAATAATCCTCCCCGTCTCCCTGCTGCTGCTGCTGCTGCTGCTGCTGCTGCTGCTGTCGCCCGCCTTTCCTTGTCCCCATCCCTCCGTCCAGCCCCATGCCGCCCGCATGCGGTTGCCCCGGCCCGCCCCTTTCATACGCCAGAGACAGGTCCTCCAATTCCTCCTCCCTCACCTCCTCCTCCTCCTGCTCCTCCCCTCCCATACCCATCCCTCTCCCCATGGCATGGTGCCCGTACATATCATGCAAGTCGTGATGCCCATACATGTCCTCCAAGCCACCATCATCCCCATCATCACCATGGTTGCCCTGTGGGTCATGCACGTAAATATCATGCGAATACACGTCATGCATGTCTGCTGCCTCTCCTCCACCACCCCTGCCCTTGCCCCCACCGCCCATGTTACCACCCCCAACGTTACCAAAAGCGTCATTCAGGTCTTCAAACGATCCTCCTTCCATCTCCGCTTCCCTCTCCTCCTCCCCAAACCCATCATGCCCCCCCTCGTCCTCCCCCTCCTCCAGCCCTTCCCCTCGACCATCCTCCCCCTCTTCCCCCTCTTCCCCCTCCTCCCACGCATTCTGCGCCCATGCGTCATCCATCGCCCCATCCACGCCCCCACCAACAGGCAGGGAGGCCATTCGACCCCCCAGCTTCGCTTCCCCCCCGGCCCCCGCGCCTCCCCCGCCCACCGGCGGCAATCCCCCGCCCCCCGCGCCCTGCGCCCTGGCTCCCCCCGTTGACGCCTGAAATGCGAGGCTAAGGTCCATCTCCCCCCCTGAGAACCGCCTGCGGTCCCTCCCCCTCCCTTTCTCGCTCCTGCCCGCCCCTCTCCCCTCCCTTGCGCTCCCCGGCGCGCCCTTCAAAGTCCTACTCCCCTCTCCCGCTCGCCTCGGCGAACCACTTGCCGAACCTGCCGCCGAACCTGCTGCCGAACCTGTTGCCGAGCCTGGCGCGGAGCCCCCTTGGTCCTCGTACCCTCCAGCATGCCCTCTCCTCGGGCCGCTCCCCCGTCTGACCATCTCCGTGTCGCTGCTCTGATTCTCATGCCCCCCTGACGACGCCCCACTGTCCTTCCGCGTATGCTCCCTCCCTGACCCCTTCCCCCCGTGTCCCCCATGCGCGCCGTGCGCCCCGTGCGCACCCCCTGCGCGCATGTGTTCCGAATCGCTCCCCCCATGGTCGGAGAGCGGGCCGAGGCGGCTCCCCCCGCCGCCAGTGACAGACCCAGCCGCGTCCGAGTAGCACGTCTCGTCCCCCGACGACCCCGCCGTGTCCTCCGCGTCCTCTAGCGGCTCCAGCTTCGTCGGGTAGAACCGCGGCAGCGCGCCTGCGCCCCCCGCGCCCGCCTCCTCCGCGGCGGCTTCCTTGCTCAGCTTCTTCCCCACGCACTCCACCGTCAGGTGTAGCTCGGGGCGCCCCAGCGCTGCGCCTAGAGACTTGGAGACTTGCACGGGGAGCGCGTGGGGGAGCACGCCGGCGCAGTCCGCGAAGGCGGAGAGGTCGAGCGACGCCTTCCCCAGCGCTGTTGGTTTGGGCTGCGCCGAGTCGTCCGCCTGCGCCTCGTGGATCGAAAACGCCGCGGTTTTGCGCTGGTACGGCGCGCCGGGACCGCCGCGCTCGCGGTACAGCGTGGCGGGGACCTGCGGGGTCGCGCGCGCGGGGGAGGGGGGGCGGAAAGAAGGGGGGACGGGGGGGACGGGAGGGAGAGGAGGAGAGATGAGTGGTAGTTGCACTCTTAGGCTAGGATCAGAAAGTAAGCCTAGTCCAAATGCGAGCGGCGCGAGGCACTCACCCGGAATGTCTGGTCGATGACCACTTTAAACGCGTTCTCGTCCGCGCCGCCCTCGTCGCGCTGCGCGCGCACCGGCTTGGAAAAGCCCGTGCGCTTGTCCCCGCGCTGCCACTGGATGATCGCCGGCGCGCCCATGCGCAGCCACGGGCGCAACTGTGGGGGGGAAGGGGTGCGGGAAGGGGCGGAGAAAGGGGGGGAGGTATGCGCGGAAGGGAGGGCGGAACAATGGCGATTATGAGACGAGGAGCGAGCGAATGTAAGCTTTACGTGGAGAGGAGGGCAATGCAATCAGACGGCAATGCAATCAGTGACTTACCTCGATCAGATGCACTTTAAAGTCGAACCGGATCGCCACTAGCGACGGCGCCGACTGCTTCCCGGACCGCTTCTTCATGGCATATGTCGTAATAATGTTTTAAATAATATATAATTAGAAAGGGAGCTCGACTAAGGCCGCATTGCGTTCGGCATTAATCTACTAGTTAGTAACAACCGCACGGGAATTAAACCCGAGGTCCATAGGTTTTAAAGGTAGGAAGGTTGGTTGGTACAGGTGCTTAGATTGGTTCGCGAAACGGGCTTGTGCCGAAATTGATAGGGGCGGGTCGCGGAGTCAAATACTCCGATTGAACGAGGCAATTTGGAAGAGAATGAGACTCCGGTTGTAGTTTCGCATTGCCCAAACTGACAAGCCGTCCGACCAGGAGCGTCGACGGACGCACGCTGAGAAATAATTACAAGGACAAGATATCAACGCGTTCGGCAATGCCAATGCTGCAGCCTCCAAACATATTGCACTGACGAGATGGAGCCTCGCTTTCGAGATGTTACCGTCTCGAGAATGCCGGGTGATAGGAAGTACCAATTGATCACCGCCTACTACAAGTCACGTCTAGCTACCGTTACAGCGCAATGCTGATCTTGAAGCAGCTACGAGAGCTGAATTGGAAAACTAAATTAGTTCCTCCTCGCGCTGAGCATCTCGTGACAAAGGTAAGCAGATGGAGAGGACAAAGCACACGTAACAACGCTGCGAGTCAAAGCATGGGTGCGTGGGTGGGTGCTGAAAGAAATGGTAACTTCTAGGTGTGGTTGGGTATGTTTGGGTATGTTTGGGACCATCCTGGTTGGGAAGGTACGTGTATCTGTGGTACGAATTTGGTTCGGTTTGGAGGTGCTTGGGTATGTCCCCCAACAACCACCTCGAGACGAATGTACGGCACGGCACGGCACCACGGAACAGAACTCGAGGTGAGGTGAGGCTGTGCGCTGGGCTGGAGTGGAGTGGAGTGATGGCTGGAGGCGAGGTGTGGTTTGGGGATGGCGGAACTGATGTCGCGTACACGCTTTACTGGATATGGGCGAAAGCAAAGCATATTGCGTCTAGACAGTTATACCCTACTCTTTGTCACTTGGGCGAAAGCATAATACCCTACTCTTTGTCACTTGTGTGAAAGCATAATACCCTACTCTTTGTCACTTGTGTGAGAGAAGTTTGAGATGGTGTGAAGTGGTTTTGAAATACTTTTAAAGCTAGACAGGAGGGAGGAGCAATGCGCTCCGAACACCAGGCACCAACCATTGCCCAGACCACAGGCAGGCTCCACCTGTAATTTCCATCGAAGTATACTCGTACCTGTCCTGGCCATAAACCAAGGCGGCAAGCGCATCATCATGCCAGTATACATGCCCCATATATATTTGGATAGTAAGTATTATATGATTTCCACTTCCATGGGTGTACTCCATGCATCAGAAGGCGGAGAAGCAAACTCTACCCCACCGCCTGTCAACTGCGACCCACTGGAGTTCGCCGGGGCGGCCTGAAGCAGCCGAAGAATGCCGCCCGCAACAACATCAGGCTGCTGGTGCACGGACCTGGCAGGGAGGGCCTCGGCTGTAGCGCAGGGCATGTGACGCAGCATGTAATCTGCTACAGCCGGGGGGGTGGCGGGGTCTCCCTCTAGGAAGAGCATATGCACCGGGATCTCTACCTGAAGGGTGGAAGGAAGGTGGATGCATGGGGAAGGGGAGGGCGGAAATTGAGGGCAGACACAGGCAACCACATGACCCCCCTCCCCCATGCTCACACGCACCTTCGGCAGCAACAGGATATCTTATCGCCCCTCTATCTTCGCATCACACTCCCGACACCCACCACCCGCACTTACCTGAGGCAGCACTTCTCGCAGGTCGCAGGCAAAGGTGGTCCTGAGGCATGAGAAGGTGACGTCAGTGTCCTCCCTCCCACCCCCACCCACACCTCCCTTGCCTACACAGAACTTGTAGCAGCACCCTTTTGCGTCCCATCGTTCACACCCACCTGAGGCAGCACTTCTCGCAGGTCACATGCGAAAGTGGTCTTGAGGCAGGAGAAGGCAACGTCGGGGCGCAGCGAGAAGAGCGGCCGAGTGACCTCCCTCACATGTTGCGCCTTCACATCATCCGCGTTCAGCACCGGTGCACACCCCTTTGCCCACAACTGGGGGGGGAAGGACGGTGTGGGGGAGGAGTAGCAGGAAATATATGGAGGGATTTAGGAGAGGTCTGGGCATGAGAAGAGCGGCCGAGTGACCTCCCTCACGTGCGCTGCCTTCACATCGTCCGCGTTCAACACCGGCGCACACCCCTTGGCCCACAACTGGGGGACGAAGGGAGTTTTGGGAGAGGTATGGAGGGGTTCAGAGGAGTGAAAAGGTGCAAAGTGGCCATGTCACCTCCCTCACGTGCGCTGCCTTCACATCGTCCGCGTTCAACACAGGCGCACACCCCTTGCCCACAACTGCCGGACGAAGGGAGTTTTGGGAGAGATATGGAGGGGAGTGAAAAGGTGCAAATTGGCCATGTCACCTCCCTCACGTGCGCTGCCTTCACGTCGTCAGCATCCAGCACCGGCGCACATCCGTTGGCCCACAACTGAGAGTGGGGGTAAGGGCATTGTGGAGAAAGGAATAGCAGGAGAGAACTGGAGGGAATCAGGAGAGGCCTCAGCAGGAGACAGTTGCGTCACTTCCCTCATGTGTACTGCCTGCCTTCACGTCGTCCAGTAACCCACCTAGGTAGGCGCCACCAGTAACCCACCTAGGTAGGCGCCACCAGTAACACGGGTAGAGGCGACGGCAGAAGCACGGGCAGGCCAGTGAAAGTGCAACATTCTAGAACAATACCTCTTCCATTTAGCACCCAAACCAGTCCTCTGGCAGCACCTACCCGGAAGTTTCCCTGCATGATGCCAAAGACCTTGTCCAGGTCAGCGAGGCCAAAGCTGCTGTTGTAGTCGAGTGGGGCCTCCAGCAGCCTGCCATGGTGAGGGTGGTGAGGGGTGGTGAGGGTGGTGATCGATGCACTGTGGTGATGAGAAGAGCAGGTTATGGGTGGTATGGGTGGTATGGAGGGGAGTTGACAGGTGTCTTGATCAGCCAGGTCAGATCGATAATGGCCGAGGAGGTTGGGGGAGGTGATGCTGATGCGCTGATGCGCTGATGCTGATGGTGATGCTGATGCTGATGGTGATGCTGATGCGCTGATGCTGATGGTGATGCTGATGCTGATGCTGATGCTGATGTGCTGATGCTGATGCTGATGCTGATGCGCTGATGCTGATGCTGATGCTGATGCTGATGCGCTGATGCTGATGCTGATGGTGATGGTGATGCTGATGCTGATGCGCTGATGCTGATGCTGATGCTAATGCTGATGCGCTGATGCTGATGCTGATGCTGATGCGCTGATGCTGATGCTGATGCTGATGCTGATGCGCTGATGCTGATGCGCTGATGCTGATGCGCTGATGCTGATGCTGATGCTGATGGTGATGGTGATGCTGATGCTGATGCTGATGCTGATGGTGATGCTGATGCTGATGCTGATGCGCTGATGCTGATGCGCTGATGCTGATGCTGATGCTGATGCTGATGCGCTGATGCTGATGCTGATGGTGATGCTGATGCGCTGATGCTGATGCTGATGCTGATGCTGATGCGCTGATGCTGATGCTGATGGTGATGGTGATGGTGATGCTGATGCGCTGATGCTGATGCGCTGATGCTGATGCGCTGATGCTGATGGTGATGGTGATGGTGATGCTGATGCTGATGCTGATGCTGATGCGCTGATGCGCTGATGCTGATGCGCTAATGCTGATGCTGATGCTGATGCTGATGCGCTGATGCTGATGCTGATGGTGATGCTGATGCGCTGATGCTGATGCTGATGCTGATGCTGATGCTGATGCTGATGCGCTGATGCTGATGCTGATGCTGATGCTGATGCGTTGATGCTGATGCTGATGGTGATGGTGATGCTGATGCTGATGCAAATTGCTGATGCTGATGCTGATGCTGATGCTGATGCGCTGATGCTGATGCTGATGCTGATGCTGATGCTGATGCTGATGCTGATGCGCTGATGCTGATGCGCTGATGCTGATGCTGATGCTGATGCTGATGCTGATGCGCTGATGCTGATGCTGATGCTGATGCTGATGCGTTGATGCTGATGCTGATGCTGATGCTGATGCTGATGCTGATGCAAATTGCTGATGCTGATGCTGATGCTGATGCTGATGCGCTGATGCTGATGCTGATGCTGATGCTGATGCTGATGCTGATGCTGATGCACTGATGCTGATGCTGATGGTGATGGTGATGCTGCTGCTGATGCGCTGATGCTGATGCTGATGCTAATGCTGATGCGCTGATGCTGATGCTGATGCTGATGCTGATGCGCTGATGCTGATGCTGATCCGCATGCTGATGCTGATGCTGATGCTGATGCGCTGATGCTGATGGTGATGCTGATGCTGATGCTGATGCGCTGATGCTGGTGCGCTGATGCTGATGCTGATGCTGATGCTGATGCGCTGATGCGCTGATGCTGATGCTGATGCTGATGCTGATGCTGATGCTGATGCTGATGCGCTGATGCTGATGCGCTGATGCTGATGCTGATGCTGATGCGCTGATGCTGATGCTGATGCTGATGCTGATGCAAATTGCTGATGCTGATGCTGATGCTGATGCTGATGCGCTGATGCGCTGATGCTGATGGTGATGGTGATGCTGATGCTGATGCGCTGATGCGCTGATGCTGATGGTGATGGTGATGCTGATGCTGATGCTGATGCTGATGCTGATGCTGATGCTGATGCTGATGCTGATGCGCTGATGCTGATGCTGATGGTGATGCTGATGCGCTGATGCTGATGCTGATGGTGATGCTAATGCTGATGCTGATGCTGATGCTGATGCTGATGCTGATGCTGATGCGCTGATGCTGATGCGCTGATGCTGATGCTGATGCTGATGCTGATGCTGATGATGATGATGATGCTGATGCTGATGCTGATGCGCTGATGCTGATGCTGATGGTGATTCTGATGCGCTGATGCTGATGCGCATGCTGATGCTGATGCTGATGCTGATGCGCTGATGCTGATGGTGATGCTGATGCTGATGCTGATGCGCTGATGCTGGTGCGCTTATGCTGATGCTGATGGTGATGCTGATGCGCTGATGCTGATGCTGATGCGCATGCTGATGCTGATGCTGATGCTGATGCGCTGATGCGCTGATGCTGATGCTGATGGTGATGCTGATGCTGATGCTGATGCGCTGATGCTGATGCTGATGCTGATGCTGATGCTGATGCGCTGATGCTGATGCTGATGCTGATGCTGATGCGCTGATGCTGATGCTGATGCTGATGGTGATGCTGATGGTGATGGTGATGCTGATGCTGATGCTGATGCTGATTCTGATGCTGATGCGCTGATGCGCTGATGCTGATGCTGATGCTGATGCTGATGCTGATGCGCTGATGCGCTGATGCTGATGGTGATGCTGATGCTGATGCTGATGCTGATGCTGATGCTGATGCTGATGCGCATGCTGATGCTGATGCTGATGTTGATGCTGATGCTGATGCTGATGCTGATGCTGATAATGATGCTGATGCTGATTGGTACAAGCAAGCCACGACGACTCACCTGGGCGAGGAGGCGAGCAGCACGATGCGTTTGAAGAGCTTGGGCCGCTCGATGGCTGCCAGCAGTGCGATCATGCCGCTCTGCCTGTGCCCCACCAGCGTGCACTGCTGGCCCCAGTCGCCCTGTGTGCTCCCACACGCACACACACACCGAGGGAGGGAGGGAGGCAGGGAGGGAGGGAGGGAGGGAGGGAGGGAGGGAGGGAGGGAGGGAGGGAGGGAGGGAGGGAGGGAGGGAGGGAGGGAGGGGAGGGGAGGGAGGGAGGAGTCAAGGATAGGTGCCATTCTGCCTGTGCCCCACCAACGCGCACTGCTGGCCCCAGTCGCCCTGTGCTCACAGAAACGGAGGGATGGAAGGTGAGAATAGTGAATGTGTGGCACCACAACTTGACACCCATCTCTGTGAGCAGCTGTAACAGCTGTAACGGCTCTAACAGCCGTAACAGCTGTAGCACCTGTAGCACGCACGCACCTCAACGCCCATCTCTGTGAGCAGCTGTAGCAGGTCCTCTGCAAAGCCATGCAGCGTGCTGTAGCGCTGAAAGTCAAACGCATCGCTGTCTGACCTGCACCGACATGGGGGAATGGAGGGGTGATATGGGGTGGGTCGGGTCGGGGCACATGGGGCGAGTCGGGGCACATGGGGCGAGTCGGGGAACGTGGGGAGGGTGGGGGCACATGGAGGGATGGGGTGAGGACTGATTGATGGGCAGCGAGAGAGACTAGAAAGGGCAGGGGCGAGGGGAGAGGGGAGAGGAGAGAGGAGAGAGGAGAGAGGAGAGAGAGGAGAGAGGGCCGAAAGGGCATGAGGAGCAGGGCCAGCAGAGGGAGAGGATGAAGGGTGGATGGGGCGAGACGAGAGAGAGGGGGCAGAGGTGCATACCCTACAGCACCGGTGAGGTCGTAGAGCACAATGCGGTACAGAGCGGTGTCAAACGATTCCAACACATGCGTCCACATCTGAAGGTAGGGACAGGTAATGCGCATGAACATAGGTTGATGTTCGTTCTCCAAAAAAAAAACAGTCAGCGTGAGAATATATGAACGCGTGATCATGGGATCGTGGGAATGTGGGGCATGCATGTCAAGGCAACAGAAAGCATGTGCATCGGCGCGGGCATGCATGTGAAAGTGAAAGCAGATAGCAGCACGCAGGGACTGGTTGAAGCCAAAGCCGTGGGAGAGCACGAGCAGCTCGGGGCCCGTCCCCACGATGCGAGGGACATGCGTGTCTAAGCAAACACGTGCGTGTGGAAGCAGCACGAGTGCGGGCACTCACAGATTGATTGAAGCCAAAGCCATGGGAGAGCACGAGCAGCTCGGGGCCCGTCCCCACGATGCGCACGTTGTGCCTCTCCTGCGCCGTCCGCGCCGCCCTCAGCTTCGCCGCCTGCGCCGCCCTGCACGCGCGCAACAACGCGGACAAGACGCCGTTGTCATGCATTCAGCATGCGACATCACGGCAATGACTCGTGAGGTCACCACGCAATGCGCATGAAATAGCATTAATCACGACTGTTATGCAAAGCAACGCACACGACTATTAAGCATGCGCGACAAGAAAGCACACGCATTCCCGCCCCTCCCACTCCCCACATCCTCCCCTCCTTTCCCGCCAGTCCAGTACCACCGAACAACGGATCTCACGGCTCTTCTAAGCGCATCACTTACCTAAGCGCCACGCTGCTCCCGTGCCCCGAGCCGCCACCGGAGATGGAGCCGGCATGCATGGACGAGCTGCTCATGCCCACCACCACGCCGCCATTCATCGAGTCGCCCCCGCCGCCGCCGCCGCCGCTGCTCCCGTACCCGCTGCTTCCGCCCCCGCCGACGATCCCCCCGCCGCTCAGCACCCCCGCGCCGTGCATGCTCCCCGCCATCCGCGCATACAGCGGCGGGTTCGTCGGCGTGCCGGCCGCCGCCGCGCCGGCCGTCGCGGACCAACCACTGTTCCCCCCTCGCGACGCCAGGCTCTGCCGCGACCCGTCTCGCGACTCGTCGCCGTCGAATCCGCGCGGTCCGATCGGAACGGCCTGACCTGCGATGTGCGTGGGCATCACCACTGCTGTCAGGCCGCGAGACGATGAACGCGCCTCGCCGGGATGATGCCGCGCACCCGCCGCAGCGCCACCGCCGGCGGCGCCGCCGCCGGAGGCGCTGCGCGGAGGCGTGGGAATGGCGGTGCGGCCCGTGATTACGGACAAATCGAGCGGCTCGTTTACTTGCCACTCGGAACTGTCAGGGGGCGATCCGGGGAGGAATCCCGACGCGCCCTCCTCGCTCCGCCGTCCCGCTCGATCATCCGCGCCGGACGGCAGCTTGTCCGCGCAGACGGCGGAAGGTTGCGCCCACGCATGCTTCTGCGACAGCGGGATTTGCGCGGGGGACTCGACGTGCCGCTGTAACCCTCCGCTGGATTTTCTCTCGAGCGGCGCTGGCGGCGGCGGATCTACATCCGATCCTAGCTTGTGGCGCGCCGCCGATTCGAGCGCGCCGTTTCTACGACTTCCGCCGGCGGCGCGCGCGTCGTCGAAGAAGCTGTCGCCACGGGGAACGCCTGGGGGAGAGAGGGGCGGCTTGCCCACGCACCCCCCCATTAGAAGCGCGAGAAAAGGCCCGGTTTCCGTATGTGAATGCGATTAATATATCGAGGGCGATTAGAGAAACCGGCTTTGCCGTACCGCGTGGCTTCACTCGGGGAGAAATGGTAACGGGAAACCAGCTCTGGAGCAATCAAAGGCTAAGACAACTTGTTCGCTTTGAAAGAGAGCAGACGTGAGGACTCGAAACAGCAGCTCGGCAGGGAACAACGATTCGCGACGCGTACTTGTTCGAGTCCCGAAAACTTCTCTCGGCGGATAGTAAGTTCCCAGATGGCGCGATGGTGTCGTCGGCCATTGAACATCATCCAGACACCACGAGTCACGACAAACCAACAATGGTGAGACGTGATTCTAGTACAGTAACTCTCCTATTATTTTGCTGGCCCCCCCGGTTACGCGGGCGTTCAGTAATTGAATCGAACGCACTGAAGAAACAGCGGTCATGGAAATGATCATCGCACAGCCACCCCACCCCAGGCAAATCGAGAGCGTGGCAGTTTGCAGGTGCGCGTGTAGAATGCGGTTCTTTTTGGCGCTATGCCGCCTCAACGAAAGCTGGCGCTCGTTCGGCAAAGTCTAGCATTCTGAACCATGAACAACCAATCATAGAATGACAGGCAAATCCAGTATGGTTACGACTGGCCAATTAAAGTTCTACCAAATAGCTTCTCGTCCAACCACCGACCTGCTCATAGGACCTTTTTCGAACACAGGTGCCAACTTGGCAGTTCATCATTGTTCTTGCCAACACCGTTCAAAATGGTGAGCACAGAGCTGAGCTGGCTGAGGCCCTCGGTGACTCTTAGCCATGGGTTAGTCACCAATCACAGCAAAACTGCCCTGGCAGCTTTTTAACCTCGGCTGGCGTGGCAGGTCCGCTGGGCTGGTCCACCAGCGCAGAGCTTGATTTGATAGAAGGTTGTGAGAGTTTACAGCTCATGAATAACTGTTTAGACTGGTATGTAGAGGTTAAAAGCGGTGAAAAAGACGTGCCGCTTTAGAACGCACGATATCGTAGTCGACCGCTTTAAACGAACTGAAAGCTAATCAAGCATGACTCGCTTTAGAGTATTACTGTCAGGATGTGAAGTCATATGAGCTTACGACCTACATTTGAGAGTTGCGATGCTACAATGCAAAACGAAGAAACCTGGCATAGCATACGTGTTATGAATGAACTTGCAGAGTGCGCAGTAAAACGAATAACGAGAATGACTGATTACAAAATTACTGAATCACGATACAATGAGAAAGGTACGACTAAATAGGGGAAGTCCTAGCTAGGCGGAGAGGTTGGGCGAGGATGGCTCGGTGATGGTTGCGATTGGGGCGTAGGCGACTCGGGAGTGGTTCGGTGCGACGAAATAGGAAGGACAGGTTCGTCGAGTGACCCTCGGGATGTCCTTGCTAACGAGTGCCTCAGTAAGGATTTGAAATCCTTACACTCTCCCACCTTCTAAATAAGGCAGCCCTGTACTGGAAAAAGGCCCCACACTAGCGAGGATTCCGTAGATCTTCTCTTCAGCTGAATCCGACGGCCGAAATGCCTTGGACAAATATTTTTTGAAAAGGTTCGAATGCAGGCCGTTGATGAAATTCGATTTCGATCTGAACGTCCATGATGAACTGGCCCAAAGTCGATTGAAAGTTGGAATGTGGGCCGTAGATGCGATGACTGCAGATCTGACGGCCAACGATGTCGCAGATGTGGAGGGAAACTGCTGACGCGAAATTCAATCGCGATGTAGCGGAAGCCGTCGATCTTGTCGGTGTGATCGCGGTCGTCCGTCGTGCTGACGCAACCTGACAAAGTCAAGAAGAAACTCGAGAAAACACCAAGGAAAGAAATAGTGCAAAGCACTTTCTCCCCCCCTCCAAGAAAAGACACCAGAAAATGTTTCACAGCTGCGCCGAGATGAAAACTAACAAAAATCCAGGTGTTAAGTCCCACTGAAGCGAATGTCGAGCGTAGAAAGCCAGGTGAAGACTCGTCGGTGTGGAAAATCGATTGCGGAACCGGGTGGTACGTGCCCCAAAAAGTCTTCAAGGGCTAGCCCGCGTAAGTAGACCAGAAACCGAAACCGAAATTGTCGAGTACTCGAACTGAAGCTGTGTTGTCTTTACTCGCGAGAATCATGCAGTATCTTAAGCAGATGCAGCTGGCAGCGCCTGACGTGTTTGAAATCAATGCAGTTGTCGTGGGCGGGTCGAGTGGATGGATTTGTCGCTAGTACAGTTGGAGCGGCTGTATCCCGAAATCCTCCGGCCGTGAAGTCGGGGCTGGTACGAAAATGTCGTCGGTGAAGGCGATTCGTCGTAAAGTCAAATACGAGCGTCGGCGAAACTCGTTGAAGCAGTAACCGAAATCGAATGTCACTCCGAAATTTATGTCGAGCACGATCTAGGGTCAGATGATGTCAGCACCTCCAGCGGTTTTGTCCAGACTCGCCTAGCCATTTGTCGTAGTGCGCCGAGGGCTCCTGGGCAGGGATGAAAAATGCAGCTGTCTCTCCCACCCCTTCACTGTTGATGCCGCCTTCTTCAGTTCGTTGTACGTCGTTCCTACCCCTGAAAACTCCGGGTAGCTCACGCGTTATTTCCCAACGTCCTTTTCGCGCGCGTTTAACCAAACGCCGAATGTGAGAAAATGTGAACGAGAATGGATGAACTATGAAACAGTTGGGTACAAGTACTAACCCTAATTGGGTTGTACCCCATGTGGGCTACCTCACTACAGCCTACACAAAAGCATATGCTATAATGTTCTGACACACCCTCATAGGCAAAGTGGGGGAGAACAAGCGGTCACAAGACCAGTCAAGCAAAGCAAAGCAAAGCAAAGCAACGCAAACGAAAGCAAGCTCAGGGTGGATCACAAAGTCACCACACATTCCGAGCACAAGTTCAAGGCCACAAGGCCAGTTCACATGCATGAGTACACATATATAGAAAGCTAGACAAGCAAGAGCAGGTGTATATATATGTAACAGTACAAGCAAGGTCAAGAGGTGAGCAAGTGAGGCAAGACAGGCACAAGACCAAGCTGAATACAGAAGCGCTGATGATCACAAGGCGCAAGTGCCTTGGTGAAAACATCAGCAGTGTTGGCCTCAGAGGCCACGTACGCAAGTCGCAACTGACCACGCTGCTGCAACTCACGAGCAAGAAAGTAGCGGAGAGCGATGTGCTTCGTTCTGTGCTCCAGGCGCTGCTCCCGACACAAGGCCAGCATGGCCTTGTTGTCTACGTACAGCACTAGAGGAGAACGAGGCGGCTCTCCGAGGTCAGTCAGCAGGTAGGTAAGCCAGCGAAGCTCCTGTGCAGCCATGGCCCCAGCGTAGATCTCAGCCTCACAACTGGAGCCGAGAACAGAAGACGAGCGAGTAGCCCGCCACGAAACAGAGCCGGAACCAAGGCTGAAGGGGTAACCGTGTGACGACCGCTGCGTAGCCTGGTCGTCTGCCCAAGAAGCGTCCGCGTGCCCAGTGAGGACCACTAGACTCCGCCCTCCAAGCACTAGCCCCATGCCCGACGTACTGCACAAGTAGCGCAACACCCTCTTCGCTGCAGCCATGTGCTCTGGTCTGTGTCTCCCAGGAGCAACATAGCGTGCAAGAATACTAAGAGGGTATGCAAGGTCAGGTCGTGTGCAGGTCATCAGGTACATGAGGCAGCCAACAAGCTCTGGGTACGGGCCACTCGACTCTATGGACTCATCCGAAGGCAGAGCTGAGAGCGAGTGGTGAGTAGACAGAGGAGTGGCCTAAGGCGAGGAGTACGTGAAGCCGAAGCGCTGAAGGACCTGCTGCACCATGTGTGACTGAGTCCGGGTAATGGTGCGGCGTGCTGTGTCCCGGGTGATCTGCAAGCCAAGGTAGCTGTGCAGTTCACCCAGGTCTGTGCACGTGTGTCTCTTCTGCAGCTCGGACTTCACGAGAGCGAGTCCAGCAGTGTCAGCTATGGAAGAGACCAATTTGTCGACGTACACGAGGATGTAGAACGGCGGCAGAGAGGTGTCGGTGCGTAGAAACAGCGACGGGTGAGCAGTAGAGGGAGCAAACCCAAGAGCCGCAAGTGTAGTCCTCAGTGTGTCGTGCCAGTCGCGCGGTGCCTGGCGGAGACCGTAGACTGGCCGTCGGAGGCTCCACTGGGTGCCAGGAGGGAAAGTCCCAGTGAAGCCAGGTGGACGGCGCAACCAGATCTCCTCGTGCAGGCTACCCTGCAGGAAAGAAGTGCTGAAGTCAAGGGAGTGAAGCTCGTAGTCACGCTGAGCGGCTACGTGTAGCAGCACCCGAAGAGTGGTCATCTTCGGGGTGGGGGAGAAGGTCTGAAAGTAGTCAACTCCCTACCGCTGACTGAAGCCACGAGCCACGTACCGCGCCTTGAAGACAGGTGGAGAGCCTGGCGGCCGCTTCATCCTGAAGATCCACATGCCACTGACGATGTTCGCCCCAGGAGGGGGAATCGCGTCAACGTAGGTGCCTGTGGACTTCCAGGAAGCCATCTCTGCATCCATAGCTGCCTGCCACTGAGAGGAGTAGGGACCCTCTACGGCCTCCGCGTAAGAGCGCGGAGTCGGGATGTCTAGTGCATCCGGGTCTCCCTCAGGGGTAAGCAGTACGGACGCGAGATGAGGTGAAGCAGCAGCCAGACATTGGAACTCCTCCTGCGTGTCCTCAAGGACGTCTGTGCCAAGAGCACACTCACCCCCGACGGACGGAGGAGAGACAGACGCAGACTCAGCAACAAGACTAGCAGGGTAGTCTAGACGACAGCGAGCAGCAAAGTCGAAGAGCTCAGCAATAAAAGCAGACGCAACAGTGGACTCAAAGGAGGGGTCAGTGACGACAGTAGCAAGGAGACGCGTGACAGTAGGACTGGCAGCACGAAGAGAGTCCAACTTAGGGTCGGCAAGCACAGGAAGAGAGGACTCAGGAGGAGAGGGCAAGGGGGCACGCAGAGGAGCAGTGGACGGACGCAGAGACATCCGGTGC